CTCCACGATAATCAACGGTAGTCCAATTACGTTTATCACGATCGGCCAGGTTGGTTACCGTCCACTTACTTCCCCTATCGTCTATCACCACGGCAGCGTGAAACGCGAATAACTCTCGGCGGAGGTGAACGGAGAAGGATAATAAGAGAATAAACTTACGCTTATCGCTGCACCGAGAAACTGACTGAACGCTCTGGTAGCACCAAATAACGCGCCATTTCCAGAATTATCGTCACCGGCTGACTGTGCCGGAGTACCGTAATTGCTCCCGAACGAGCTGAAGAGGGGAGGTGGATAAGTCGAGCTCGGCGACCACGTTGTAGTGCGTACCCTTGGTCTCGAGCTTGGTGTCACCGTCTTTTTCGTGTTATCCGTAGGTCGAGTTCCAGTCGATGCCGGCCTTGTCGTAATTGTCGTAGACTGGACGCCGGACGGAGCAGAAGTAACGCTCTGTCCGAGGCTCTGTTACAAGACGAGTAATTATTTTCTTTCGCCGTGTCCTGTTCTTTGCTGCTTTGTGCGGTTCGGTTGAGTATCGGTTGTGTCGGAGAAAAATTTTAGTATGGTGTTCTTTGATGAAGTGTCTTTGTCTGTCAGTTTTTTGGTATTTATCGAGTTGCAGAGTTTTTTTCTATGGATTTTGGGATTTTCAGTGTTTTGGAAAATTTGTTACCTATTAATTTAAACTGTCTTTTCTATCAATTTTTTTTATTTCTCCGAGTATTTTTGGTAAATTCGGGGATTCGCATGTTTTTCTTCTTTTCGAGCGAAGTTAGGGTGTCGTGTGTTTGGCTAGAGATTTAGAATCTTTTATTTTTCAGTGTGTTGAAATATTTGGAGATTCGTGTTTTTTTTTTTTTTTTAACGAAGTTAGGGTATCTTGTGTGATTTGTGAGAGGTTTATAAGCATTTCGATTTATTTATTCTATCTGCTTTACAGAGAATTTTGAATTATGGAAATCAATTTTCGTGGATTTTTTAAATTTTTAGCTAAGATAATTAAGATAAGGAGAAAACTTAAGGTTGTTCAACTTCTCTGAATTATTTTCTCGTGTATCTCGTGTATAATCATGAATTTCGAACTTAGCCAGTTTTGTCAATGCACTTTCGCATACTCATTTATGTGTTCAGAGCATTAGAAACTCTTAGTACTCAAAATACTAAAAAATTATTTTTCTTGCTCTGTTCTGTGTATTTATTTATTTTGATTTTCTTTTTTTCACTAATTCTACTATATACTAACCTTTCGTTATTTTTCCAAACACAATAATAACACTATGTAAAAATGAGATATTTGACAAAGCATGCACAACTGTATCCATTAATTCCTATATCTAATTAAAATCATAGTTAAATTTTGCAACATGTGCATAAATATTCTTCTTAACAAGCTGCATAAAAAAAGAGGGAAAAAAGCTACGATACTTAGGTACAATACTATTATATACTCTGTTCAAAATTAGAGTAACCTCGCTTCGCGCATGGGACGTGCCTAAGGCAGGGCTAGAACCACTGGAACGTCCAAACCCCCCACTTAACCGCCTACGTTTTTCTCCGTCTTACCCTCTGCTACGCTCTCTGTCTATGCGCAGAACGGACGAGAATCGGCCCGAGAGCGAGGTTACTCTCATTTTGAACGACGTATACAGTTTTATCTGAATTTTGCTATAAACCAAATTTTACACAAATAAATTTCCAGCAAAAGAATTCAAATTACTTTACTGACATTACTTACCGCCAACTGAAGCTGTTCTCTGATATTACTGTTCGGCGTTGAAGGTTCTATGCCTTGAGCTTTCAGCAGCGCAGCTAACACAGCGGCGTTACTGATTTCCGTTGCTGGAGAAGGTGTCGTCGTGGGAGCCCTTCCGCTTAAAATTGCCTTTAAGAAGGATTCGTCATTCTGACCTAAACCAGGCGTCTTTTTCGGTGCACCACCTATGTTATCTATAACAAAAATAATGCAAACAATTTCAATGATTGCATTACAAATAACTAGTCATTTCAGCAATCAGCAAACACAAAACTTTAATATCTCTCATAGACTGAATAAATACAATCCACTCAACTTTGCAAAGAAATTTAGCAATAAAAATTTCAATAAATTCTCCCGTCATTAAATAATACAACAATCAATCAATCTTCCATGACTGTCCCTTTTATAGCAAACTTTCATTCAAAAAATTGTTCTCTTATTCTCATTCTTCCACAAATATTCT